TATTATTAGAAGTTTATTGCGAGGTTGGAGAAGTCAGTAACTTTATAATTTCAACCGTTTTCTGAGAGCCTCTGAGACACTGTCCTAGACAAGTATGGTGTATAAAACATTGGTATATGATTTCTCATCTCAAACAGCATAGTAAGACATAGCCTGGCTTTGCTTCCCCAATATTAAAAGCAGAAGTACACCACAGGGATAGAGTACAGACACTGAAGCCAAGGTAAGGTTCAAATGCTTCATTGTTTCTAAGCCTCAGTTTCCATACCCATAAAATGGTGTTAATGATACTTAGCTCATGGGGCCACTAAAAGATTAAGTTGGCTGGACGCAGTGGCTCACGCCTGTAATCCCAGCACTTTGGTAGGCTAAGGCAGGTGGATCACCTGAGGTTGGAAGTTCGAGACCAGCCTGACCAACATGGAGAACCCTGTATCTATTAAAAATTCAAAAAATTAGCCAGGCTTGGTGGTGCATGCCTGTGATCCCAGCTACTCAGGAGGCTGAGGCAGGAGAATCACTTGAACCCAGGAGGTTGAAGTTGTGGTGAGCCCAGATCACACCATTGCACTCCAGCCTGGGCAACAAGAATGAAACTCCATCTCAAAAAAAAAAAAAAGAAAAAATAATAAGATTAAGTTGAATAAGATATGAAAATGCTTAGCACAATGCTTCATATGTGAGAAGTAGTCAAAAGAGAAGGGTTAGTATTATGCTAAGAACCAATAACTAGTGTTAGGCTGTTCTTGCACTGCTATAAAGAAATATCTGAGACTGGATAATTTATGAGAAAAGAGGTTTAACTGGCTCACAGTTCTGGAGGCTATACAGGAATCATAGTGCCATCTGCTCCTGGGGAACCCTCAGAAAGCTTTCAATCATGGCAGTAGGTAAAGGGAGCAGGCACATCACATGATGAAAACAGGAGCAAGCCAGAGAGAGAGTAGTTGGAAGGAACATTTTTAAATGACCGGATGTCACAAGAACTATCACAAACACAGCACCAAGCCACAAGAGATTTGCCCCTATGATTCAAAACCTCCCACAAGGCCCCACCTCCAGCACTGGAGATTACAATTCAACATGAGGTTTGGATAGGTACAAATATCCAAAGTATATCAACTAGTATACACAAAGAGTGTTAAATATTTAACCCTTTTTAACTTTCTTTCAAATGAAACTTCTTTTTCCTAAAACATGCACAGCTAAGAATTTCTTTGCTTGAGTCTTTTACTCACTTCTTTATAGACATTAATCCTGTATTTTTTTCTCTAATTTGTACTGTAATTTGATCCTTTTTTAAAGAAAGTCTGTTGGAGGCTGACTCTTCAGATTCTTTGTACAGCATACTTAAACTATAAAAATGAACTTGGGGTTTTTATGTGTGTTTTGGGGAAGAAGTTCTGAGGGGTGTTAAATAATATATATCTATTTTTTAAGGATCAAATAAATATCATGGATTTTGCAAGTGAATAATGATTTGTGAATCAAGCCTCGCTATATTAAGACTATACTGAGTGCCCCTTTTAGGACAAGATTAACGGTTTGTTGCTTTAAGCAGTTTTTTTAAAAAAATTATATTACAGTTCCTCTCATGCCTTATGCTGACAGTTGCAGTCTTCATAACATTTAGCACTGTTAATTTTATTTTGGCTGCATATGTAATAATGTCATTTTATTCATCGTTAACATACCCAATTTGATTAGCCTTCTATCATACGAAGATACAATTCCAGCATAATGAAGTAAACATGCTATGTTAAAGATCTCATATGATCTCTTGCATGTATTCTGATCTCTGCTTTTAAAGTTAGGGATAAACACTATAAATATTGCATGAGTTAAAACTTTGTCACATCAGTTTTATTGTAGTACTAATAAGGTGGCAGAATACATTTCATATTATGGTGATACAACTGCTTAATCTCCGAGCAGAACAATAAAATTCGGAAACATAACATTCCTTTGTGGGGAGGAGTTGCTTTTAAACGAGCTCAATAAAAAAAAAGCAAACTGATTACTCCAAGCACACTGAAAATTAGGCATCGCCAGAAGGAATGTGTAAAAGGCTTTCTGATAGCTTGGATTAGAGACAACGATTCCCACAAAGCCTATCAGAGATAAATGAAATAAATGGAAGGAAGATGCAAACTCGGTCTTTGTTCCAGTAACTGCCGAATGTCATATTGGAATTCTCAACACAAAACCAAATGGCTGGCAAGATCATCTGTATGCAAATGTAGAGTAAGTGACCCTCCCCAGCTCAATAGCTATTTTGAGATAATTGAAGTCTATACTATAGGAAAGTAGTTTCTTTCAAAGACTATGTTGCTTTTTCATGATACCTTAAAAATTCCATGTGAGTACTTAATGGCTAAAAGTATTTTACTTTTACAGTTTAATAGAGATTTGCTGTTTCCGTAGCTGTCTAGCATCTGAAACCCTTTCCTACTTAGTGAAGGGCTAGTTTTCATCTCTCTGAAGATCAAAGGGGGTCAGAGACTACCTCTCCCTGCCACTGACAGGTAGAGCAGGTGACCCAGGCTTGGCCCATCTGATGATCCTTCCTGCCACTTTGAATTGTGAGCAAGTGACAGAAAGGAGCAAGGACAGTTTGAAATTCATATCATGAGGCATCTTGCAGCGGGAAGTGCAGTGCTGTGCAGAGTGGAGGTCGAGGGTGGTGTGACAGCAGCAGAGCCCGGCGGTGCACCCCAACCAGGCTGTTCCTGCAGCATGACCTTGGCTGTGGTTCTTGCTGCGGAACCTGCCTGCATTCTTGCCAGTTTACAGGGTCTCTAGGCTTCTCCGCAAATAAGTGAGCTTCCTGATATTCTGCCAGCAGATCTCTCTTGCTGAAGTTAGCAAGAGTCAGTGTCTGATGCTTGCAACAAAGAACCCTGACTGACACGTAGAGGGTTTTCTTATTGTAACGTGTTGTCAGCACTGCTCTAACATGTTTTGTTCTATGTATGAAATGAATAATAATACTTGATGGAAATATACCCACTCCTCCACACATCTCTCTATATAATGAAATCCTCATAATGCTAAGGATTCACCGGATAAAAAATATTGTTTCAGAGACAGATTACAATAGTCAGAATTAAAGATTTTTATTGTGGTAGTGTTATGTCACATAATAGGCACAACAAAGGATTGGTCACTAAAACTAACAGAATGCAGCTACTGAAAGACAAATTATATAAGGAATATCCATCTCTATATAAGTAAAAATGTAACTTAACAGTTTATAACTAGCAAAAGACTTGGGGAGGCAACATAGCAAATTTATTAAGACTAAGAGTTCCAGTTCAGATTTGCCACTGACTAGCCATGTGATTTTAACCATTCTACAACTCACCTCCACATCTGTAAACTGTTAATGCTGATATCATTTAGTTCACAGGACTAAAGTGAGAATTAATTGAGGTGCTGATATAACTCTGTGAGTGCAGTACTAACACACAGTGAGAGCTTATACATGATGGAGGCCCATCTGCCAGGTAAGTCCGTTGCACTCACACACCAGTACCACTCCCAGCTTTTCCTAGGTTCCCACATATTGATTTGTTGGGATTTATGTTGGGAAGGTTAACACAGCTCATATTAGCATTCTATCTCTTCCCTGGTCCCTCAGGGATTTCATTAAAGGAAACTATCCTTTCCCTGCCTCAGCCACTAGGGAACTCCAGGTGCCATCGTGCTGGTATTGTTGTTTTCTGCTCTATGTCACATTTAATGAGAGAAAAACAAAAACAAAAAAGCCAACAACTTTGCACTGTGAATAATATTAGCAAGTTCGCTCTAGAATAAAAAACGCTGATGATTTAGACAATGAAAACAGTCACTAGGGAAGTACTATTGAATTCCTCGTTTTTCCTTTAAGATTAGCTCCTCACGCCCTTCCTCACCTTTGACTAAGAACTGATCCATGGAAAAAGAACCCTGAAACTCCCAAGTTATGGACTATAAGAAGTCGAGTTAATGCATAAAAGCTTCCCATCATTAAAGATCGCAAATCTTCACCTCCAGCAACCTAGCACAACCCATCATTCTCTTCACTGACCCACTGCTCATGCCTCCTAAGAGATCTCCCAGCTCTTCACAGTGGCTCCCACACATTCTCTAGTCATCATCCTGAGTGATCTTTTAAAAACATACATCAAATCACCTCATTGCACCTCACAAAACTTTTATTCATCTTCCTCTGCACTTAGAATAAAATCTAAGCTCCATTCATGTGACACATAAGGTCCCACATACTCTGTACTTCAACTTCCACCTTGAATGCCTTTATCCTTGCCTATTGTGTGAACAAGCTGAAGACTTCCCCAAGTAGGACTTCTATGTCAGATTTCCCGCTGCATGACTTACCTCCTTCCCTAAGATCATTTCTTCATTGTATCCTATCAGACAGGTCCCAGCTTCGATGTCACCACCACCCAAGTACTTTCTATCTCATCACTGTTTTATTTTCTGCAGAGCAGTTTTCTGAAGAAAATCCTGCATATTTACCTCTTTCCCATTCCCCAGTGGAGTTAAGCTCTATGTAAGCAGGACCAGTTCAGGTTTGTGTCCAGTGTGTCCCCAGTGCCTTAAGCAATACTTGACACATGGTAGTTCTTCAATAAATATTTGTTACCTGACTAATTGACTGAATGTATGATTCAAAAGATAACGGTTTCTACCACCCACCCTTCACCCCCTTTTCTGAAAGTTTCTCCCCTTTCCTGAGTAGGATTCTGCCAATAAGAAAGAAAAAAAAAAAAAGGCTCCGCAGCCCCTGGCAACTTTCAGTTCTGCCAGCACAAGGGACATAAATTGTTTGTAGCCTCTGCCAGTTTCCCAGATAACAGTCTGAACTCTCCTTTGCTAGCAGGGTCTCTCACGCTCCCTGGACTAAGGAATCACCCAGGTCTGTGCACCTAAATCAGACCATAGAAGACAACCTCATATGGTAACACCACACCCAGGCTCAGGACAGGAAATTTACTCACCACACATCAAGGTAATGAAGGTAACCAAGTGCGATTTCACACCAGGCTTCCTGCTCCCAACAACAGAGGATGAGGGGGCAGCTCATTAACCAAGTTTGAATTTAAGTATAAAATGCCATATTTTCACAGGAGGAAGTAGATGTGTTTTCCGTGAAGAATTCCAGTCTGAGTTCTCACTCAGCCTTTAATTCCTAAATGTAGAAAAAAACTAATAAGCTTCTTAGAATACATACATAAGAAGTTCTATTTAACCCTAAGCTATTTAACACCTCAGTGGTTTTATAAGCACCAGTCTCATTAAATCTTGTGTGTGTGTCTTTGTGTGGTAAGGCAAAGGGTGGCCAGGAGGGATCACTGCCACTGAACAGTCACATTGAATAAGCCATAGGACTGAAATTAGGAGGCAAGCAACAGTGACATCTAGTGTGGGTAAGAAATGCCAATACTGGCAAACTGTTCTTCTTTCTATAGCAAAAGACAGGATACAAGAAAGATGGGTAGCAAATTAGGGTCAGAAAAGTGAAGATGATGGCAAATGTGAAACCAGAATGCAGATATACTAGATGACTATAGAAAAAGATTCTTTTCCAATTCCTTTGCCACTAAATTTTCTTCCCAGTTATATATTATTACGCACTTTCTTAGCCTGAAAAAGCCCCTAAGGTGACCCAGCCTCCCACTTCTGCTCTCCCTTTCCCCCAAACCCTCCCACTGTGCCCTCTGGATCTCCTCTCTGGAATCAGCAAGCTCTTCTTAACCTCTTCTTGGAACATTTCTTGGCCTCTTGTTTTAAAAGGAGTCTGTTGGATACCACCTGCCCTGAAACCCATCTGAGGAAAGGCTATTTCATTCGTTGATCACACCCTGCCATGATGGCTGCTGTTCTTGCCTCCCATTGCTTATCTATATCTCCCTCTTACAAAAATTTCTGCTCCTTTGAGATCCTGCTAAGCAGATATGTCACTCTATCCCCACTATACTTGTTGCAATCATCTGACAAATCCCTGTTCATTCACAACCATTTGTTGAATATTTTAACTCCTGTTCACAATTTTTTCTAGACCCACCCTCCTATCATCGTTTTCAGTATTATCAACATCTACTTGATGAACCATGGCGCTTCAACCTCCTCAACTCCAATGCCTTCCCCTCCACCTCAGCCACCTACTCCCATTGTCCCACTTGTCAACAACAGAAGCTGCAACATTTCTGAAAACTAGGCTTCAAACCTCCCACTCACATATATTTCTCCTATTCAGTCTCTCAAGTACACCCACTAACCTATTCCACCAGCCACAGTGAAACCTCGAATCCATTAACCCCTTTATTTTCTGCACCTTCTGTCCGTCCCCACCTGGACTCACTGCCCTCCTTATCCAGCCCATATACTCAAAGTCTAATATTATATTTGCTGCTCTGAAAATATACTTGATTCTCTCATTCTTTTCTCCTTCCACCACACTCATGGTTAATATCACTTATCCTTGCCTACTTAAGCATTCAAACATTCCTAAAGAAAAATTAGTAAACCCACCTGACTGGTTTTACTTTAAATTCATGACTACCAACCTTAAGTAGATACTACTGGCTAGCAATCCTGCTATATTTCTCAAGTAGTATAACTTCCTAACTCACCAAGAACTATTTTATACATACTTCAACCTCACTCTAATATAGTAGTCTCACCTCATTACTCTTCGAAAATAAAAAACTCAATGATCCACTTTATATTCTCAACCTTAAACCTATAAACCTACCAACATCCACACACATTTTTTCTTCTTCCTTCCTCCTATCAAAGCCTACGTTGTGAATGTATGCTCAAGCTCCCACCTTCTCTCTCACCTTCTCAAGGACTTCACTAGTCAATCTCTCCCCCTTCTGCATCAGCAATTTTCCCTTTTCTGCTGCATTCAGTTCTATCTTTATACAAACATGCTGCAGTATCATGGACCAAAAACAAGCAAAAACCTCTCTCAACCCCAGAATTTTCTGTTCCCTCTTTCAGAGCCAGATTCCTCAAGAGGCATTACTGATACTGCCTCCACTTTCTCACCTCCCATTCTCCCTTCATTCTGGTTCCAGCTCCCCACTGCTCTGGCAAACACTTCTTGTCCTTAACCTTTCAGGAGCATTAATCAGAGTTGACAATTTCATCCTTCCACTGAGGGCAGGACTTTACATTCTGAGTTTTCCTCCTACTTCTCTGGTTACTCCTTGTCACTGTCCTTTGTAAGCTCCTTAGCCCCCATACTAAATCTATGAATATTGGTAATTCTCAATGCTCAGTCTCGGCCCAACTTCCCTTCTCCTCTTAGAGCATAGTGTACATTCTGACTGAAAATACTATTAATATGTTTCTCCCAGAAACTTAAATTTCTAGCATGAATCTTTACTTTGAGCCCTGACTCACATATTCAGCTAACATCTTTACATAAATATTTCACACACATCCTAATATTATTATGTCAAAAGTTAAGTATTTTTTGTCCTCTCAACCTGTCCTTACTCTTCCTAATCCCAGTACACAGCACCACTACAAAACCTGGTGATCATTTTTTATTCTTCCTTCCCTCTCTTTCCCACATCCAAGCATTCAAGAATTTATGTATTTTTTATATCTAGCATATATCTTGAATTACAGGATTTCCTCCATTTTACTGCCATTATCATATTCATGGTCACCATTCTCTCTCACTTGGTCTCTAAAAAAGTACAGTCAAGATAGATTAGATGATGCTGCAACAACCATAAAATCTGAGTGACCAAGAAAGAAAAAGAACTAGAAATATTTGGCACTAGTGACTACAAAGTCTGTCCCTTTAGTCATCAAATATTCCATTCACCATCTTTCCCACAGGCCCAATAACTACCCCCACTCCAGAGAGACAACAAAACATTGAATCAGTGCATGGTATTAAGCTCAAAGTTCAGGATCTCTTGATGATACGTGATGGGCTCTCATCTTAGGGGGGCTTCTCTTAATATGGACACTATAAAGAAACAGAAACTTCCTCACATATACCCAAAATACAATAGTGGAACAGGGTCAGGATAACTGCAATAAATATACCCATTTAGACAGCAAAAGAATGAGAGGAAAACACAAAATAGTCAATGTTCCATTGTAATTATGAAATTCTACCTGGGGGTGGAGAATGTTCTTTGATTAGGCTCCAACTCTCCTGGAGAGAGATTCCCTAGTCCATTGTTTGTCATGACCTTGGCTCTGCCCTTGGAGAAGATCTTTCTTTTTCATCATCCAACATGGCCACTTCTAAAATGGTCATTGGAGAAAATGCCCTACCAACCCTCACCTCCCACCCTTTGGGCACTGAGCCTGCTTCCTACCTTTAGATATTTGAGGACCCAAGGATTACTTTATATCTCAAACAGTCACAAACATTTAGTTCACACTGTGATTTCTTTGGTATACAACTCTTTCAAAAAGTTTCCTTCTCATCTATTTGGTTCCAGCTAGCTCTGTGTGCCATTTACCACATCCATAATTCTTTCAAGGCATACCTTCTCTCCTTTTCCCCTCTCCTCTCTCTCTTCTCCTGTCTCCTTTGTCACTAAGATTTTGGCTCTGTGAGATCTATGATTTTATTATTTACTGTGGTAACCACAATACCAAGCTCAGTGCCAGGGATATAGTAGACACTCAGAAAGTAGTTGTGAAATGAATGAATGAAGGACCCTTACCTGAACTTTGAATTATGATTCTGCCTTCAGGTCCCGTTTATGCTTCTTTTAACTACATTCTTCTTTCTTCTCATCTTCACCTTGTAAAAATGATATCACTTGCTGGCCCAAGTCTAAGTGACTTCTTGTCCTAACCTGTTTTCTTCCCTACAAGTTTTCACTTCTTCACTCAAGTACACTTTGGACCCTGATAAGTTGCAGAATTCTAACTAATATTCTTCACTTGTTTTCCTAAAACAATATTGGCCTTTTTAACTCTAGAGCAGAGGTTTTCAATCTTAGCTGCACATTAATATCAGCTAGAGAGCTTTTGAAACTCAATTCACTAGCAACATACCAAGGCAATTAAATTAAGAGTCTCTGAGGTTAAGTCCTAGGCATCAGTACTTTTTAGAGCTGCCCAGGTTTTTTCAGTATGCAGTCAAAGTTGAAAACCACTGTTCCAAAGTAAGTGTTCTCTCCAACTCTTTCTTTCCTCCATGATTCTGAACCCTAATACTGATTGCTCAACCTGTGGATCTACCATCATTCCAAACAGCAAATCAACAAGTATTGAATTCCCTAAGTACTCACATCTGTGACTAATTTACTTCCTCCTCATTCATTTTCCCCCTCCCAGCTGCGCCTTTCTCTTTCTATTCATGGCACTAAATTTATGGTTTTAACAATTGCACTTTAAATTGCTTTTCAGATTTGATCCTACATCTTCTCTTCTCCTCAATTCCAAAACTTTGCTTGAGATTTCAAATAAATCTTCTATATTTTCTCATCCAGCACATGAGCTCATTCTCTCTTGCTTTCACTCATTCTCACCCACTTGTCTTTATTTTTGTTTTAATCATAAAAACAGTACATCTAGACTTTTAGTAATGCAGCTTCTCTCTGTTATGTTCACTGTCCTCCAATCTGTCCTGATTCTTGCGTTCTTGACTACAATTACTGGTCAGCACATCCTCCTGCAGATATCTTTCTAAGTATGACACTCTACTATAATGAAACATTGTTATTTATTGTCTCAGTGTCTAAAAAAAAATCTATAAACATGCAAACCACTATTTCATATGCCTTGCTATGGGACTAATTTATAAAAAGAGGGTATTTTTAAAGAGAATAAAAAATGGATATTTGAAGATCCATAATCTTAAAACATGTATAAATAAGCACAAATATATATGGTCAGGAATGGGAATATCTTTTGACATCTTATCAACCTCCCTTAATATGTCAGCTGGTTCTGAATATGTGTCCGTAGGACGTCAGACTCTCAGGGCTGGGGCTAGAAGGTAATATCTCTGGTTAGCTGGCACTTGAACTTTCTCCATAGATTCCATCATACTGTAAATGGGACAGAGCAAGCTGTTGGAGACTTGACTGGTAAACAAGTTTCTGGTCCAAAGTATAGTTTCGGCAGGTCACAGGTTCATGCAGCAGTTGAGTTGATTCAGACCCAGCTGGATGCAACAAGCTAGCGGTAGAAACAATCATGATCAGACATAAAAATAATATTCACTCATCTGCTTCTTGATTTCCTGAACTGACCCCAGGCATGGTGCAAAGCTCTGAGATTAAGAACATCAAGGACAAGTGAAGAAATAAATATACTAAAATAATGGCACTACAATTCAAAAATTGAGATGTACATTGGGTAGAAATATGACATAAAGGAGGGAGTATTTGAATAGGTCCCTAAAATTTGCTGGGAACCAGGAGATAGAAATTGCGGAATTAGGCTGGGCGTGGTGGCAGCTCACAACTGTAATCCCAGCACTTTGGGATGCTGAGACGGGCGGATCATGTAAAGTTAGGAGTTCGAGAGCAGCCCAGCCAACATGGAGAAATCCTGTCTCTACTAAAAATACAAAAATTAGCCGGGTGTGGTGACAGGTGCTTGTAATCCCAGCTACTAGGGAGGCTGAAGCAGGAGAATTGCTTGAACTCAGGAGATGGAGGTTGTGGTGAGCCGAGATCACGCCATTGCACTACAGCCTAGGTGACAAGAGCAAAACTCCATCTCAGGAAAGAAAGAAAAAAGAAAGAAAGAAAGAAAAGGGAGGGAGGGAGGGAGGAAGGAATGAAGGAAGGAAGGAAGGAAGGAAGGAAGGAAGGAAGGAAGGAAGGAAGGAGAAGAAATTGTGGAATTAAACTAAGTATGTGGAGGAACATAGCAATAATTAATTGACAAAAAATGTGGTGGGCTATTTTGAAAAGCAAGGAGTTTCCTTCCCATGAAAAAGGAAGCTGTTCACATCTGACAGAGATGCTGAAAAGTTCTTCACCAGGAGGTGAAGACAAAGCTTGTATTGAGTACTTATTCCCCCTCTGCAATCCTAGAGCTCAAAATGGAGAGTTAAAAATAGAAGTGTGTAGATAGACAAATATATTGTATGCACATATTATATCCATATAGACAGAGAAAAATGTAGGAAAAACTCTACTTAATACACAGACTTGGAATTTTTAAAAAGAAAATCACCATTAGTGAAATTAATGAAGTGAAATGGAACAATTTCACTCACAAAATCTTTCTAAATGTACTATCTTAAAATAACATAAGACTCTCATGATGAGACTAGTGGTAGTTCTATTAACTCACGCAAACACTGAGGACATTTTCAATCATTCTGTGATAAACTGTCACACAGCAGCCTAATTAGCTCCACAGACTGCTTTCATTTAAGGGCCTTCATTGTGTTATTATTCTAATCATTTTTAAATGTCCTCCTCAGACTATTTTCTATTGTACTGTTTTTCACTCTGGGATCCACATTTTACAGGCATCCCAAAAGCTCCTCATCATTTTAAAGATTGTATTCTTAATAATGTATTTGATTATGTTGCAAACTCCTTAATCTACACGGTATTGTGTTGGTCATGTTAGCAAAGTATGATCTGAAAGAATAAATCCTTGTAACATACTGTGAACACCAATGAGGAAGGGGTTAATGATTTTTCAGCTGCATTTCTTGCTGGTGACTATGGCACAGATGAATATTTTTGAAATGAATATGAACGGTTTTAGATGAGTGCTCCTTAAATGTCACTGTGCATTAGTCATGCAAGGATCATTAAGGGGTATGAGAGGTAGACTTGCACATTTCATCCAAGACATAGATTCTTGCTGAAGACTGTTACTGTCAGAGTTGCCAGGTTAGACTATGCTGGTAATGATTATTAATGTAACTGAAGCATTAAATGGTTCATTTTTCTCCATTTTTCTTCATATACAATAATATTTCCAAAATATTCATATAAAATGCATTTTTCTGCATGAGTCCTGGGGTGGCAGAGAATACAAAGTAAATAAAATGCTACAAATATCAAAATAAATGCATGCAACGGAAATTATCTTCTACTAAAATTTAACAATAAATTAATGTGTCTATTTATAGGCATAAAACTCATTCCTGCTAATGAACCACGTTAGTTCTCTAGGGAAGCATGAATCCTTGAGCATCTCTAATGTTTAAATGCCAGTAGATAACAATAGGTTTCCTTCCTTTGTGATAGTTATGTTAGATATAAATCGCTGGTTTATAAGTATATAAGTATAGTTCACCTTAAGATAATATCCAGTGCCTCCCCAAATGTTTCTCTACCACATGAGAGACACTTCACATTCTCACAACAAAATACACTGAGTAGCAAATCATCTGGAATTTGTTAGGATATCAAGTTGCTTGAAAGAGCCTTGAGACCAATCACCAAAGAACAGGTCCTTTGAAATTAGCCTGACTGCCCCCTGACAGCCTATCTGTGCCATTGGCATATTCTCACTGCAGGAAGAGGAGGTAGGTCTGGACCAGAGGTCTGCGTAAGGCCCTAGCAGCTTTTCTAAGAAAAAATACTTTTTCTCAATACCAGGTTCCATATATCCATTTCCTTTGACTCTAAGCAAATCATTTAACTTCAATTTCTTCATCCATAAAGTGAGAAGCTTGTCATGGGGATGACAAGCCTGCTTAAAGCTTTTAATAAGGTCTTTTGAAGACAGCCAATACAATTCACTGTAAATTATAATATGGCAATTTGAATTTAAATAATTTTTTTTCTCCTGAGTAATATTAGCTACTGAGTACTCTTTGTCAGTGTAGTAAATTATTCTGTAACTAGGTAAAGCTAGCCAGCAAAGTGTGAAAAGTTGCTTTCAGCATCTTAACTTTGCACAAAAAACAATCACTATAAAGTGGTAATATCTTTTATTTGGTCAAAATATGAGTAAGGTGGCACATAAAAGTGATTTTAAGCCTAGTCGTTAAACAACGAGTTCTTAAATTGAGTAGAAATCCCCATGCAAGGAAAAGAATTCAATGGTTTCTATCGTTATTACTATTATGTTTTCAGAATCCAAAGCTTTATATTAAAAGCCGTAATTAAATTTTTAAAATTTAAATATCATAAACAAAATTTTCTTTTCTATGTAGATTAAAAATTATTTTTATATCCTGACAAAAGTACAACTTCTCTGCAAAAAGATTTTCCTGTCTTCTTAACTCTATTCATCAATCTCCTGTATATAATCAAGAAAAAAAGTCTCCCAAAGCAACCCAAATGATTAAATAAAAGCAGCCCTAAATATCACAACCTCATTAAATGAGTTTGAGGTAGAAGTAGCAGGGTACAAATGCATCATAAACACAGTTATAGTCATAGGCCAAATAGAAGAGTAACAACTGTAAAACTTGCCTATGACTTCAGACACATTTTCACTAAATAATGTGCTTCATTCTCATCCCCATTAAGTCCTTTAGTAAGAGTATGATTGTGAATATAATCATTGGGATGAAAAGGCCCAAGAAAATTAAATGACAGATCCAATAATCCTTTAAATATCAGTTGCAAAGTGGTGATGGAAAACACACACAAAGGCACACACAGAGGTTTGGGACTGGCCCCATGCCTGGTACAGCAGGTATGCAGCGGAACCGTAACCATAGCCTCCAGCATCCTTTATCTCAGCCAGCCCACCTTCCTCACTCCTAGTATCACCAGAATGAAGCCTACATGTCTTTGCATTGCCCCTACAGCCCCATCAGGCTTTGTCTTTTCTGCCTGTCTCTCCAGATTCATTTCTTGCAACTTTGCCACATGTACTTCATGTTCTCATCCATCTCTCTCTGACATGCTATGCACACACAAATGCTGCTACACACACACTTTCTTTCTTTCTTTTTTTTTTTGAGGCGGAATCTCACTCTGTGGCCCAGGCTGGAGTGCAGTGGCCAGATCTCAGCTCACTGCAAGCTCCGTCTCCCGGATTTACGCCATTCTCCTGCCTCAGCCTCCCGAGTACCTGGGACTACAGGCGCCCGCCACCTCGCCCGGCTAGTTTTTTGTATTTTTTTTAGTAGAGACGGGGTTTCACTGTGTTAGCCAGGATGGTCTCGATCTCCTGACCTCGTGATCCGCCCGTCTCGGCCTCCCAAAGTGCTGGGATTACAGGCTTGAGCCACCGCGCCTGGCCTCACACAAACTTTCATTCACTCCTCATTCTTCACTACTCAGAACCTTTCTTCGTCTTTTAAAACTCCCCTCAGAGGATTCCTCCAAGAGGCCTTCCCTAGCTCTCCAAATTCCCGGTCTGTACTCTGATAGTACACTATTTACAGCTGTCATAGCACTTTTCATAGTGTGCTTCTTCTCTATGTTCTCTACAAACTGTATGCAGCTCAAGAGCAAGGACCATGTCCACCTTATTCCAGTAGCCTCAGGGCCTAGCACAGTGACTGAGGCATAGTGAGTGTTCAGAGTTGGGCTCTAGTTGTGTTTATGAGCTGGTTAGAAATCTAAAATATATTCATTGCATATATTAGCAATTAAATACAACAAAAGGCCATTTAAAACTGTGAAGTGTGGAATTTGGTGCCATTTGATATAGGAAGACTTTTAAGAGAAACAATAATTTGAACTGAGCAAAGAGGTGGAGGAAAGAACAGCCAGTATGACGACCAGCAAGCCAAAAAATCAAGGGTTTGGATTTAACCTATAGCAGGGAAAATGAAAAGAAAGAGGCAAATCTGAACAGTATACGAATACATTATAAGACCTTTATATGCTTATATATACTGCTGTTGGAGCTGTAAATTTGTACAGTGTAAGTAGGCAATTTTCTAGGATCAAAGCCTTAAGATACACCAGCACCATCACCACCAACACCACATTCCTGTCTCTATACCTTTCCCCACCTATTAATACAACAATTCCACTTCTAGGAATTTCTAGGGAAAGAAATAATTAAGAATGTGTGAAAATATGTATGTACAAAGTTGTTCATTAGAGTATTCTAAAAATTAGCCAAAAAAGGAAAAGGAAACTAAATATCCATTAATGGGGACTCCTTAAATAAGGCTTCATGTTCCATGTAATGAAATACCCAACTAACTATCCAACTGACATTTGAATGTTCATTTCCTGTTATAACATGATACAATAAAATCATATTAAATGGAAATTCTAAAGTGTTAAATATATTAACCAACAAAAGCCTACGCTTATAAAATCACTTACAGTACAATTTCATTTTTAAATATATTGGCAGAAGCATATCTGAAAATATCAGAATGTATGAACAATGGAGCAGTTGTGGGGAATTGTT